ATCTTCTAATTTTCGCGAAATATTTCGATTCAACGAAGAATTTTTTTTTGTTGCATTAATTATGATCGCCACTGTACATTGCAATGAAACTAAAGTGAAAAAAATATAATACAAAAATAACTAGTTACGCGAATAAAAAAATATAATATCAAAAAATTAACCCTTTCTTGCAAGATGAAAGAAACTCTGCATATATATACCCCGAGCATTGCAAACTCTGTTTTTGTTTGATCTATCTTTAAGCTATATTTGGCAAGCATCTTTTATTAAAAGTGGATAAAGACTCCCGTTATTATTTCCAAGTCGGGTGGTGTACGATTTATAGTTTTCAATTTGGGACAGGTCAAATAAATGTCGCATTGATGGTCTACCATGTGGACAGTTCTTTTTGTTTACATGTACAGAAAAAATAAATTTTAAACTTGATGATAAATAAGACGTATAGATAAGAGAAAGATCACTTTACCCAAGGTTGGTCGATTTCACCCATATGTTTCACAATCTATAATATCAATCAGAGTTAGATGGTTCGAGTTTACAGAAAGAATAAATGAACAGAATAGAACCTTTTGCATTTGTCGTTTAGTCAACGCGTCACCAATCATGACAGCCTGACGACAAGCTCGTGAGGCAAACATGTCTCGCGCGTGCGAGCATCGCACCATCACTCCCGGTCTCTCAGATAGTAAAAATATCAGCTCTTCTAAATCTTTTTATATCACAAAAAATTAATAAATAATATACTTTATTTTATTGAACCTCGCGTAAAAATCGACAAATAACACAATTTACCTTTTATCCCAAAAACGGTATTCTTGCTAACCGGCTGCGATAAAACTTTCAGTTTGTGTGTCACCGGAGCATCTTCGCGCACCTCAATATCGAACCCATTCTGTCGCAATATCTCAATATTCTCGATGGCCACAATTTCTTCGCTTGCTGTAAGTTGTAAAGCCCTCGGACTCAAAACAAAAAAATATAATTATCATTCCAAGGACCAATCATTTTATTTTTCCTTTAAGAAAAAGATATTAAGAAAAAAAACCTGATTAGTCTCTGAGAATGAATCTTTGTATGAAGTTGCAACGTTTCAAAATGATACTTCTCGTCTGACGCGTGTTGATCAATAATGAATAAATCACCACCGTCACTCGTAGCATTATCCAATTTCGCGATAATAAATCCTAAATTGAATTGTCCTATTATTTGCATACGAAAGAAATCACTTTTGGAGATTACTCTGCTAAGTTCACGTTCTGCAGTTTCGTTATCGGGGACATAGATTCCTGCTTCATTTAAACGTGGTTTAGGATGTTCATATCGTTGCTTTGAAGAACGTTTTACTTTTCTTCGTTTGAATCGGTTGATATCGAAATCAACAGTGAATATTTCATCAGCGTCTACTATTAGTTCATTACACTCTGTTGAAGAAATATTATCGGAGACATTGGGGAGGGAATTTATTTCGGTAATATTTTTTATTGATTCTTCATTTTGATATGATGTATTTTCCAAAGGCAGTGGCTCAAAATGAGACGATGATTTTTCAAGAGGTGGTTCGGAATCCTCCATTTCCGTATCAGAAATAATAGCAGAGTCGTCATCGCCGATGTTTTGTTTAGCGGAATCTAAATTTTCATTGTTTATATCATGTTCTGTGCTTTCTTTCGGGACAGGTATCTCTAATGATTCCTCTGTAGCAGTTTTATTAAATGGTAATTTTTCTCCTTGCTCACTTATACGCTCGAGAGGTGATCTCAATATACGCTTGGAAGAAGGTGATCTCAATAAGGAATCGCCAGAACTTTCTTTAAAATTTTTCCTAGATTGTTCAGAATGATTCTTGGTGATACCATATACAACTGATGTCTTTTCCGAGGAATTGAGCTTTGTAGGGGATAATATATTCGTACTGCAATCTTGATTATTGTCAACTTGAATTAGTATTGATGTGGATTTTTCGGGTGATGAAAAGACTTTCGAATCATTAGTTTCCAATTCTTGGTCTTGGCAAACTAGTGGGGAAAATGCCTCATTCGGTTCACTCAATGACTGATTCTTAGAATTCAAATTATCGATAGAATACTGAATTTCTTTGCTTGCAAGTTCACCGGCTTCTAAATTCGAGACTACAAATGTGGATTGGAATGGCTGAAACAGAACATTCAGTTCTATCTGAAAAAAAATCATACAAAGAAATATCAGCCATAAAAAAGTACCATGATTGTTGGATAATATAAGCAAAAATAAGCTTACACTCAACCTTTAATGCCTCGAGAATTTGCGTTTCATTGTGCAAAAATATCGTCCTTTTATCAGGACTAACATTCACATCATAAGAGTCTAATAGTAGTATGCAGCAATATTATAATCAAAAATGTGTACAAGCGACTCCGTTTATGGTTTTATGGTTGATAAAAAAAAACAAACCTTTAGGAAGCACGAAATTCGCAATCAGAAATGGATATTGATTAGTATTAAATGTTTTGTATACCTCATTGAAGATTTTCGCAATCTATATAACATCAAAAAATCAATTCGATTGGTAAAAAAAATAACTTGCAAATACAACTCAAAAACGGTATATAGGTTGATATTGATTGTTTGCCTTTGAAAGGTTACATGGCCGACCATTTATATAGAAGTATTGTCGATCAGCACTCGTACGGCCATTACCAATTGATGGCTTTGAGATGTGCCCAGTAACATGAATTTTTCGTGTATTTTCACTATTTTGTGCAGTAATTATTAAATTAATATATATATAGCAGCCAGCATTCACGCATATATATCCTAACCTCTCTTTTTCAATGACTGAATTTTTTAGAGATGACAACGAAGTTCTTGTTCTTGCTGGTTCTACTTGAAAAAAAAGATCAAAAGGCATTATCTGCAACATCATTTTCGCACCGAATACATTCGCAATGTTTTCACGGACGGTCTTGTTTCCATGTGTAGCAATTATTTTGGTTCTTTCACTATTTTTATAATTAATATTTTAAACAATATACGAACATGAATGATTGATATAATTTATAAGCTAATACCTTTTTCCTATTTGATTGGTACACGTTATTCGCACATCACTGCAAATAATCGCATAAGCTTGCACCAAGTTCAAGGCTTTCGTGAGTTCACGTCGCGCGTTCTTTTTGAATTCGCGAAATCGTACGGGCAGATTTTCAAATAAGTTTTTTACCGTGACTGTTGTTCCAAACTTCCAAAAAAATAAATAAAACTGATCAACTATCTATTTTCAACAAACTTTTCGTTTGCCATATTAATAGTTGTTGTCTAATTGCCATAAAAATTTTCATTATATACGGTTTTTGAATCGACTGTATGAAATACGCGTACTACCTCACGCGCAGCAGACGACTGCTTGACCAAATGCCCATCAGAATCGTATTCTAGCCGTCGCCCCGATGACAATTGGTGTTTTGTACGCGTGACAACTACAAGTTTCGAAAGAGCACAGAGTGAACTGAGTGCTTCGCCGCGAAATCCAAATGATTCGAGTTTGGTGATGCCCTCAAAGCTTTGGAGTTTTGAGGTGTAATGTTTTAACGCTATAAGCCATTTTTTTTTGACGGACGCGTTACGTTAATTGATTGATCTGTTGATATATCGATCAATAAAAAAATATGCTTGCCAAGTGTCTCGTAGTTTTCTGGGTCTATTCCAAGGCCATTATCAATCACTTCTAACGACTCCAATCCGTTTTCCCTGAAGCGTATTTCTTTTAAGATACATATACATCGTATACATAATTACATGTAAAACGAAGCAGCACAGTACGTCAATACGATAAACGCGGACATAAAACAATAAGAGCTTCGAACAAATACCAATGGAGGTAGCCTGAGCATCAAGACTATTTTCAACAAGTTCTTTAACAGCAGTCGACAAATCCAGCACGACTTGTCCCGAGCATATACGGTGCACAGAAGACTTGTCAATTGCTTTAATAAAGGTGGATGCCATTTAATATGTGTGTAAAAATATCGAGTTAAACGCAATATTTAGAAAGAGTGGTGACGTAACGTGAAAGAAACGTGACTATAATCTTTTATTATCTATATGAGGTTAGTAATTATATGATGTCATTATACATGTGAGTGCACGTAAGAAATCTGTGCCAGGTTTTGTTGATCTCGGAAAATTCTACTAGTCAAACCTCTCTATAGTCACACCCATTTATAGTCACACCCCTCTATAGTCACCTTATTTTGCTTTCCCATTTACATATAAACATAATAAAAAAACTCCTCTATAGTCACCAAATTTTGCTTTCCCGAGGATGGTGATTATAAAGAGGTTTGACTGTACTGAGTTATATACAAGATTACCGTTGTTTTTTTAATTAGTACTCCAAGCTAGATTTAGGCTTTTTTCGCATTTCTTGCATTTTTCTTTTTCTTCTGATGTGCATGTACGATCACATCTTCTTAACAGGGTTGGTCGAAGGTCAGTGGTTAAGGTCCATGTGACAATATGATGAAATGATACGTGATGCGTCATATTTGGACCGTTCTTCTTTTCTTACACTGCTTGCTGTAGATAGATAATAGCAATACTCACCTTTTGTCCATCCTTAATAGTATAAAATATAAGACAACACAAAACCTGTTTTTTTCCCATCAGCAAATAAAGCTTAATCGTACTTGTACATGTTCAAGTGTCTATAATAATAATAATAATAATAGTAGTAGTAGTAGTAGTAGTAGTAATAGTAATAATAGTAGTAATAATACTAATACTAAACCCACAGACTAAGAATAAGTACTAGCACTAATAATGTCTTCACCGCGCAGAAGGATCGAGACTGATGTCATGAAATTGTAAGTTGGAAATGTCGTGTCTCTTCTTTCGGGTTAAAATTTTACCCGGGGATGTTTATTCTCGAGGAAAGGGCATGTTTTGCTACTCATTCGATGATCAATAGTGACACATTATACATTAATTTTGCTTTTCTAGGCTCATGAGTGATTATGAGGTCACCTTGGTAAATGACAATATGCAAGAATTCTATGTTCGTTTTCATGGACCAGATGACAGTACGTTGTTATTTATCATATATAATGCTTCATTAGTTTTCTCTTGATAATTTGTTAATATGATTTTGAAATTATTAGCTCCATTTGCTGGTGGTGTTTGGAAAGTTCATGTCGAACTTCCCGATCAATATCCGTACAAGTCGCCCTCGATTGGATTCATGAATAAAGTTTTTCATCCAAATATTGATGAATTGTACGTGACTTTATGTCTCATTTTTACAATGCATTGATATTTCATTAATATGCTAACTACTGCTGTCGATCTTCCTATTACATTAGGAGTGGATCTGTTTGCCTCGATGTGATCAACCAAACTTGGAGTCCAATGTTTGGTTGGTAACCTGAAAAAAGTTACTTGTTTTTTTTTATCAAAATCATTAACCAATTTATTTATCGATATATAAGATATGATCAACATCTTTGAAGTGTTTCTTCCTCAACTCTTACGATATCCAAACCCTACTGACCCTTTGAACGGAGAAGCTGCAGCTTTATTGATGCGAGAGCCTCAGAATTATGAAAATAAAGTAAAAGGTATTTTATTCTTATTTAATAATACAATCAATTACATTCTATTTGCGAACTCATAAAAAATAGTATTATTGATATATGACATAATCTAATTTAGAATATGTAAACAAGTACGCGACAAAAGAAGCAGCAGATGCCGCAACAGACGAAAGTTCATCAGAAGAGGAAGTCAGTTCGGTAGACTCTTATTCAGATGACGATGAAGCACCCGAGATGGATCTATGATCTATTATTATTATTATTATGGTGGTTGTTATTGCTGCTAATGTTATACTTAGTATTATCCTTGGGAATGTCTGTATGAGATTTTATTCTTATTGTTATTGTTGTCATTGTTAAATATCATCATCATCATTATCCACTGCTACGATCTATCGTTGGCTCTTATTCTTTTCTTATGGAAAATTTGTAAGTGCTTATTATTTATTCTTTTTAATTCTTTTGCAGTTAATTGTTGTATTTAAATGTTCTTTTTTTTCTTGTAATTATTTTTTTCTTGTAATTATTTTTTCTTGTAATTATTTTTTTTTCTTGGCAATTATTGTTTTATTTATTCTTAGAAATGAGTATTCTCGATGCTGATGGCAGTGAATGGCGATCCTGTTTTATTGTGAACATACACTCATTTTCTTTTCGATATCTTTTGTAGAAAATTAACTGCTATAACTGCCACGAAAAATTCATACCAATGGTTTTATTAATAATTTGATGAATATCAGTGTCATGTTTTTTTTTTCAATATGTTTCTTTGACGCTGATTTATTACATCTTTTATATAGTAAAAATCATCATCTTCGACAACTACAATAATAACAATAATGATGCGATACATAATAAATATTTCTAAAAAAGATAATTTGCGTGTGTAGCTGAGTTTTCTTAGGAGATTTACTCTAGTTGCGTGTGCATGCGACTGAACAAACGACTGATTGATTTATGTTTGATATCCAAAGTAAACATTGAAGTCCAGGTAATAGTACAACTAATAGGATACAGATAGTAGATGCTGAAAATTAAGAGTTAGACAAATTTACAAAAATATTCTTATTTACAAATTCAAATCAATCTATAAAAAATATTCGGTTTTCATGAATTTTGTCACTGAAAATTCTAGTAATTTTATTTTGTATTGTTATCGTTTGAATATGTTTTATAAAACTTCAAATATGATATTATTCATGTGATTTAGGTTAAATAGAAAAAAATAAAATAATTAAAGATTTTCAACACTAAAATACTAAAAATAATAGTATTTGTTTTATTAGCAACTAGAATGAGCTTAGAAATCAATACAATTAACTTTATAACTATATTGTTAGATTCAATAATAATTTTTTTCATGAATATAATTATAATAGGATTTTATAATAAATATGCTTATAACAAAATATTTTTGTTATAGCTAGTTCTTGAAAAAATGATAATTATAGTGAATTTTTATATAATATAACTATAAAAAAAAATTATTATAAAGAAGTTCAGATATACTTCAAATATAACAAATTAATAATTCAATTAATAATTTATAAACAAATAAAATACTAATAATTTTTATTTATAATTAAAATTAATTTGTAGCAAATTTAAATAATATTAATATATTTTACTTATTTATTACAATAATTAATACTAATATCAAAAGTTAAGAATTATTATTTTGATTTAATTACTTGTTAATTTTATTTTTTCAATATTATTTAATATAAAATAATAAAAAAGTAAAATAATTTCTAGTTATATTCTTATAATAATGCAATTTTGCAATAATAGATTTTAAAAATATATATATAAAAAACATATTAAAAGAAATTTAATTAATAAATTATTAAAAAATAGTTTGAAAATTTATTATAGAGAAAAAAAATTATTAAAAAATCTAATTAAATAAAAAGAAAATACAATCAAATTCCTTTATAATTATACTTGTTTATAGTAAAGATGACAACACATTGCAACTCTAAAATTTTATAAATTGCAATTAGTTGCAATTAGGTGATGCTTTATTTGTCATCACGTTGCAATAGTTGCTGTGTCATCTTTAGTTTATAGTCATAATTATTCAATTTTGCTTTTACAAATTTTTAATTAATAAAAAAATCTTTATTTAATCACATTTTCTTTATAATTATTATTATTATTAAATAATATATTAATTATAATAAAAAATTCCTTTATATAGTGACAATTAGAAATAATGTAATAATGTTAAAATTTATTAATATAAATTTTCTCTTTATATAAAAATTTTCAATTTTACTAATAAATATTTTTTATTTTTATATTAAAATGAAGATAATATCATATATTTTAATATATATTTTTTTCAGATTTTTTAGATTTAATCTGATAAAGTT